CTCTTTTACTTTGGGCGTAATGTTTTCCCATTTCAGACCACATGTCATTCCCTTGAGTATTATTTCTTTTATGGGCTCTTTTACCTTGGGCGTAATGTTTTCCCATTTCAGACCACATGTCATTCCATAGAGTATCATCCTTGTGCTGAAGACACGTGATTATGGATACAACTCAAACAATGAATGATTGAGTGAATGGATGAATGACAGGATGAAGGAATGAGTGAATGAGTGATGAATGAAGGAATAAATGATTTGATGGATGAATAAATGATTCAATGGATGGATGGATGGATGGATGGATGGATGGATGGATGGATGGATGGATGGATGGATGGATGGATGGATGGATGGATGGATGGATGGATGGATGAATGAATGAAAGAATGGATGAATTAATTAATGGATGAATGAATGAAAATAAAAAAATAAAAAATAAAAAAACCGAATGAAAAAAATAATGAATAAGCTAGTCGTTTTTGATTACACAATCTTATCTCACAAATCAAATATAATAATCCCCATCACCCCAATACCTCATCCTCAAACGTTTTCAGTAAAATAACATCTTTGAAGAGCACCATTGATGATGTAACTCGTGATACAAAGTGCACAACTAAATAATCCTAGCTTAACTGAAAATCCAGTCCAGAATTCTCCAGTAAAAAAACAGAATTAAAGTGGATGTTCTAGAGAACTTGCATAATCTTAATCTTAAGTGAAGCAGTTTGATAGTGTCGCAAGAGTTGATCTGATTTCTCATTTTGTTTTTTTCTTATAACTGGCTGACAGACTGCAGGCGCCGTCATTCCTCCTTACGCAGCATCGATATCAGAGCGACTCATTTCTGAAGCCCAGAGCTCGCGTGCTTAGGCTTTTTGGGCAAAGACACACTGAAGGAGAAACGTCAGAGTATGTTTTAAGTAAGTAGCGCTCGATATAACTATTTTCGTCCGTTAATACTTAAAAATCTAGCTTTTCATTTGTTCTGGATTTTGGAAAATTTATTAATATTCAATATCATACTTTGGATACAAACATTACAGGAAAGATGTTTTTATTTATATCTGACTGATTTCAGTGAGAGAAACAAGATTCAATCAGCAAAATAACTTGATGGAAAAGTTGCCTTTTTTGGGAAAAATATAATTATAATTGCCGAAACTAAAACAAAAAATAAGATTAAAACTTCGAAAAACAGAATATAGAATGATTATAGCAGGGAACATTGTCGAAAATATTTTCATCTTTCTAATTTTTAACTTTTTCGCTCTGCAAGTTTGGCAAAAAAATTACACTGATTTGTTGCCTTTTCTTTATCGAAAAAAGGTCTTTTTATGCGAAAAAATATACTATTTCTTGTCGATATTGTTTCAAACAAGGTTATATTTACAATGATCTGTGCTTTCTGATGCTTTTGAAATAAGAATATTTTTTTTCTCTTGGCATAAATGTTTTGCCTTTCCACCTTCCACCCGCCCAAGAGAAGTGGAAATATTGTTCATATTTCTCTTTATTATTATTTTTCTTGTGTTCAAAACCCATCAGGACTTCAGGAGTTACGCCTGTTGTTAATATTTATCACGTTTTTATAACTTTGGTTCTCAGCTATTATTTAGAAGTCCTGTTTATTAATTCAGTATTTGATTAGAACAGCAAAACGTATAGTGAATTTCGTGTACAGAAGGGCGGAATGCTTCCAGCTTCGCTCTGAGCTTTTGCAAATAGACCTATTACTATCCACTCGATCAATGTTTCTATATCAATATATAATATATTTTCACACTTTGATCGTTATACGGTTTTAGGAAGCTCTTAAAAGCATTTTCAAAGAGCATTTAGTTTATGTACGTTAGTGTGATTACACAGCAAATAGATGGGATTAGAACTAGCTCATCCGAACATTTCCAGGTAGTTTAAAGGACTAGTACTTGCAAAACAAACCTATACAGTTTCCTTATTTTCCATAACATCCGTTTTGAATACATTTTTGGACTCGGTAATATGAATGAGACATCGGCTAGAAGATTAGGTCAGCGGGTACAAAAATCACAAATCAAGAATGCGACAACTATCCAATCAAAATACTTGAACTTGGAAGCCATTATTTAAATGTCAGTTTTTAACGCATCGAATATTTCATTCGGTTTTCTGAGCGGTACTGTCATAGCTAGATGAACTACGCATTATTGTATTGTTATTCTAGATTTCTTTAGTCGGAGAAATGGTTTTTGCAGCTTATATGGAGTTTTTTTTCCATTTTTTAAAGGATTGTTTGCGCAATGATTTTCTATATATTTTGACTTTGTAATATCCATCTCTCATAAGACCCAACTCGAGTGATGAGTATATCACGTCACTTTTGTGCATTTTGTCTTATATTATATTATCAGTCTTTTCAGGAGTATATCAACCCTTCTTCTTCTATAGTGCCCTTGTATATAATAGCGAAAAAAGATATACCTTGATTTCAGTATAGATATTATAATTCAAAGGATGTGGAATGTCTGAATCTGCGTCTTATCTTTTCTTTTGCAAATATTGAATGCGCACTGTAAATTCTATAAACTGACAAGCACGCCACAAGATGACAGGATATTCTAGAGATTACATTTAATACTCATATGTGGACAGTCAATTTGGATAAATTCAACACAGGACTTTTCGTTTGCGCATAACTAAATCGCGGCCAGAACAGTTCCCGCGCAATTTCGAGAAATCTAGAATCAGGGACACAATATACGTACGTGTCTAGATTTCATTATCGCTGCTGGAGCTCGATCTTTGAGAGTTTCTGAACGTTTTGCCTTAAAGATATCTTAAGAGAGATTTTAGTTTTATTAAGACGAGACTCGCCGTCATGTCTATAGATACGCCGTTACTCCAATGTGCTTTGGATTATCCCGGCGCTGTCGATAGTAGATATATTAGAGGGAATACGATATAGATTATTATGACAAAGGGAAAACCAATCACTATTAATTGCTTTTATGTTTGCATTTCCTTCTGCTGAAAGGTTTCAACATTAGTATTCGATAGGAATCTTGTATCGACAAACATACTCTTAGTATATTTGTATGTATATCAAGAAATAGCAAGATTTTTCAACTTATATAAAATACTGGCTTGTGAGCTTTGAGTACTGCATAGCGAATAGCGTATTACCGTGTCGAACCTTTAACCAAAAATATTTTGGTAAAAAAGATGGTCAGTTTTGGTTTTTGCTTTTTTCATTTGCTTAAAAGACTCGCATTATAATTAGTTTCGAAAATATCCCTAAAGTGACTTGACTATTAGAATAAACCTAGCATTCAAATTTAGATAATTCAGTAACACGAATGAAAAACCCGCATATTTGTTTTCTGATTTGCGCACAGTCTTTTAAAGATGTATTATCAATAACCATTAAGAAGTGGCCAAACAAAGAGATGTGTGCTATATTTATTTACCGGTGATAGCAGACACCACTACAAGATGTGTCAGCAAGGTTAGCTAATGGATGAAGTCTTCAATGCAAGTCCATTGTCAAAAACTTAACTTTTTTGACCAAGGTGGTTTAGTGTCTTTTTAAATCTTTGTGCACTAATTAAGGGCCCTAAATCTGGCACAAGTGACTGTCAATAATGTATGAGAATAACTCCTTTTTTAGTACGATGGTTTTCTCTTTGTAAGACTTTACGCACGTTGCATTTATCAGRCCTTTCGTTTTATACTCGACCAAAGAATCATTGTCCGTCAATTTACAATCTCCCCAGTGAATAATCAAAGTACAAGTTTTGTTTTTTGTCAGTCGAGACCAAGTTCGTAATCAAAATATAATTATACATGCACATAATGTTTTTGGGAAGTTTTGCGCGCAAATTCAGCGTCGCATTTTACTTGTCATTTGAGAACCTTGCATTTATCTTACATAATAATTCTGGACAACAGAGTCATTGTCGTAAAGTCTATCCCTAGTTCGCAATCAACCCATAATTATGCACTGATTATATTTTTTGTTTTTGTGCGCGTAAGTTTAGCGCCACATTTATTTAACTTGCCATTTGAGGACCTTGATAATGGCGCTCATTCTATCCTTGTTCGTAATAAAACTATAATTTTACGTGTAGATGATAATGTTTTTGTTTATGTGAAGTTTTGTGCGCGAATTCAGCATCGCACTTAGACAGCCCAACATTTATTTGACAATGATTCTTGAACCAAAGGACCGATATCTGTCGGTTTACATTCTCTTCAGTTCGTTATCGAACTCTAATTGTAACGAATGGGATTTTGTTTTGCAACGACAAAACTATCAAGTTTCTTTGTCTCTTTCTCATCAGATCTACTCCCTGATTGGTCAATACTGGAATGCTTCAATCAAGGTCTCTTCATGTTTAAAAGGAAGGTCGGGCCGCACTATGATTAAGAAACCATGAACGATACAGGATAAAATATTGCTGTAAATGAATGAGAACAAACAATTACTTCGCGTGAAATCACAGAAGTCAAAAAAATTACTGTGAAATTCGACCTTGTCATCGAACATTGGAAAGACATTTTTCTCAAGTCTGCCCTGATACATGTAAACCTATTTGATTCGCTAGTTGAAGACTTCCACCTGCTTACTGACGCTCACGCTACACGGAAAGGATGGATCTAGAGTTTTGAAGAAAAAAAATACATGCAAAGTTTATCAATTGACTCGCTGCGTTCGGTAAAAACTGAGAAATCTTTTTTTTTTTGCACATAAGCAATTTTCACTTTGGAGCTAAAGCTTATTTACAAGAATATACCTTAAAGGAAAAATATTGCGGATAATATAATCGACGTCTTGGTTGATGCTTCATTAGAGTACTAAAAGTGACAATCTTGATGCAAAGCGATAAAAACGAGAGAATAACTGATCAATCTAAGATATTTCGTTTGCTGTTTGGATTATACTTTGAAGGCGTAAATTTACTGAGCTGAAAATTAAGGATTTTGATGGTGGAAAAGACAGTAATTAACGATCAAGATAACAAGTTAAACTCGAGAAAAAATCTTCGAAGGATCTGGAACAGGGAGAACATTCTCTTCTCATAGTCGATGAGACTGCTCCTTTTATCTTGAGGAAGCTAGAACACATATTGGTAAAGGTGGATCAGATATTGGAGATAAAGAACAAAATTCAAAGGTATTAATTGCAAGCATCTGCTTCGACTGTAAGAGGAAAGCCAAGTTCGGATTCAAGTGAGATTATTTTTGTGTCTGAGCCTAATTGGAATAAGAACATAACGAAAGGAAATCCACGAACACTTTGACAAATAGCGGGCTGGCTGGTTGAACGTCTAATCTGATAAAACGCACGTGTAATCGCCTGATTCATCAGATAGGGGGTTTTGCACTCACCACGCTACCGCAAGGGATTTGGGGATGACTATAAACAACACGTCGGACACGATGGATACACCACCCAGAAGTCAAGGCACAATGTGGACTGTGGCTTTCGGTTTTGAAGCATTTGTAATCGTGGTGGCGAATAGTCTTACCGTTGCGGTGTTCGCGACTGGTCGTCAAATGCGCAAACGAAGCACTTACTGCCTGATCAATCTATCGATGGCTGATCTACTTGTAGGAGCCGTGCCTATGCCGATGTGGGTGTATCTTGTTGGCGCGCAGTATCAGTTGTGGGAATTTTCCTGGGATATTCAATCATGGAACAAAGTGTATTTCCCTATCGATCAAATTTGCGCGTTTGCGTCCATATTTTGCTTGGTGCTACTCTCCCTGGAACGAATCTATGCTACTATAGCTCCTCTTCAGCATCGCAGGATGTCCGGGGGGTGCTATGCGTTTGCCATCTCATTCGTCTGGCTATTTTCTTGTACGATTTCACTCTCGTCGTACATGTCGCTCTCTCTATTCAACAGCAGAACACTGTCGACATATATCCCAATGACTGCGCTGTGTATTTCAGTCATTCTTCTATGCATCGCGTACTCATCGATCTGGGTATCTTTTAGATGGCAGCGATTTGATACAGGATTTTACAATGGTCGTGCCATGCTCTTTGAACGCAAACTTGTCAAGACTTTATTCATTGTGACAGCAGCATCGTTGACTGCTTGGCTCCCGTTTGTCATCGTTAGTACTGCTGTCAGCTTGCACGATGTTAACGTGGATTTCTCGACTGTGCTTGCAGTCAAAATGCTTCATTATACCAATTCTCTTATCAATCCTATCATATATACATTTAGAATGAGGAATTTTAGACGGGCGTTGTTTGGCTTACTGAAGACAAGGCTAATAACTATGAGTTCGTCTACTTTGCACATCCCCTTGGAAACCCAACGTCAACTGAGAGAGAAGTGTCTGCGCAGACTGGGTTCTTCAGATACTAAACTCTGAGATTACCATACCTCTACTGTCACGACTTGGTATTTCATGTATTTGTTCTATTTTGTCTTATTCGGTTGCCCTATTTCGCTATGACGTCACGGCTTGTTTAAAGTGCCTATAACCTTTATAGGATTATGAACAATTTTGATTTTCTGTGTGTTGGAGATGAATAAACAAAAAAAAAAATTTTTTTTTCGATTGACTAAATATTCTCGGAGATATAACGCCCTAAAGTACAGAATGGTAAAGAACAATTCCAATTTTAGCTAATTTTACTCTGCAGCTCAGTTGATAGCTCTGATATATCTGTTTTCAGACGTCATTATATATACGGTATTGAGTAGCTGTTATTGGTTTTCTAAGTTCAAAAACATACTTTTTCTTGTCATTTTTCTTGTGTTGTTGCTGTTAGTCTCCAGGACTCATCCGATACTGTTTCTTGGCGTAAAAAACAGAAGATCGTTTTCATGTGACGTCATAGTGCAATTGGACAACACTTAGATATATTTTATGGGTGAAATATTAGCTTGCAATATTATATCATTAATTAAGTTTCGTAAGCCAGGCGTATTATTATAAAGAAAAAAATAGAAATAAAGAAGTGATAACAGATGTAAATAGATGTAAATATTCTACCACTTTCTTCTAAAGGGTGAGATCTATTCCTTATAAGCAAATTATTCGTTCCTTATGAGGATATAGGTTCCTTATAAGGGGCAACATTATTTCTTAGAGACACACCATCCAGTCTACACCATCGTCTGATGAAGACTAGTAGTTTGCAGTCGAAACGTCGCGGACCTCTACAAATAACCCTCAATCGTGAGACAAATGAATAAGTATGATTTAAAACGAATGTTATATAATTTTTTTAATGCTTTTCTGATAGAGTTTCTTTATATAAAAAATCTTGTAGCTCCTTTAAAGCCCCGTTTACACTGGCGATTTTTGCGGCGATTTTCGGAATTTTCGGAAATATGAAATCTTTTGTCTCATCCTTCAAAAGAGACATTCGTCTAGGAAAATCTTGGTATCCTGAAAAAAACTTCAGTAAGTAACTACAAGTAAATTCTTTACCATTATTTATTATGGACAATATCGCAAAAAAAAAATTGCAGCAAAAATCGCTAGTGTAAACGGGGCTTAAAAGATCCTTGCATTGATATTCTAGAGGAATCGTTCTGGGGGACAAAACATTAGGCTATCTTTTCTTATGCAAAAAAAAAAAAAAARAAAAAAAAAAGAAAAACAAAAATCCATTGTTTTGTCTTCCAGAATAATTTCTCTTGGGACTCAGTGCAAGGGGACTGTAATAACTATTGGTGACCCCCACATCAATATTTATATTGCTAACTTATAATTAAATTATTAAAAAGGAATAAAATAAAGTTTACTGTTGTAAAATGTGTATAATGCATGTACGTCGAAAAATAAAGACATGACAGCTAATTTCATTTCTTAAACTTACAGAACAAATTTATGAAAAAATGAGCCACCAAATCTACCACAAAGAAAACAAATAGTTTCAAGGCTTATCTAGCGCGAACCAAAACAAGCGATTAAACTTAAGAATTCCGCGTTTTTCTCAGGGAATTTTAGAAGATCGTTTTCAGTCTTTAGATTTTGACATGCATTAAGTTAGTCTATCAAACGGCTTTTATCCGCGATTACCGGGTCTATTTGGCTCAGGCAGGTAGTTGACTTGATCCTAGAAAAGCATCATTAAGAAAAAACGCCACTRATCTTTTTGAAATCGTAATTTTTGCAGCTGAGTATTGATTTAGCGGCGGAGCCACAACGGTTTTAACAAAGTCCATAGCTTTGTTACCCACTGACTATTTAAGTGCTACCTTCGTAAAACCACGAGAGCTACTTATTTATTTCATTGCGTGGTTTATTCATTTCAAGGGAGTGGGTGTTACCTAGAAATGCAGCAAATATCGTCCTTTTTATGTTTTATTATGCTTTTAAATATTCTTATTCTTTTTTTATTAACTCTAAAGGCAAGTGGCTAGATGGTCAATCAATCTAACTACCTCTCCAGCATCAACCCTTGTGGCTATTACGATGTTAAGCCCCGTTTACACTAGCGAGATTTGCGGCGATTTTTGCTGCGATKTTTTCGGCTATTCTGTCCATAATAAATAATGGTAAAGAATTTACTTGTAAAGTTTTATTCAGGATACCAAGATTTTCCTAGACGAATGTCTCTTTTGAAGGATGAGACAAAGGATTTTGTATTTCCGAGAGTCGCCTCAAAAATCGCAGCAAAAATCGCCAGTGTAAACGGGGCTTTATAACGCAATCTTAACTTGTTTTCTTCAATCATTGTCTTTTTTCGTGTTTTTTCCCTCTTCTTCCTTTCTCTGTCACTGTCATTCTTTTTCATTCCCTCTTTCCTTGTCAGTTTTTCTTTCTTTCGATTCCCATGTCATCTTTCTTTCTTTCCTTCTTTGCGCTTTACTTAGCGATATCATACGTATATTGATACGTTACAGTTAATTGATTACCTAACGCAAATCGTTTTAATCTTCCTAAAACTTTTAAAGGACCATGTCATAAATTTAATGACACTCCTGTACTCCAAGCATTGATCCTGCTTAACTAATATTGTCATGTCGTCATCAACACATTTCAACCAATCAGAGCTCGTTTGTTCGCTTCTGAAGCTTGGGCGGCCGATATCACATTGATCGGGGTTCTTGAAGTCAAAGGTATTAAGTTTAATGGCTTTATAACTTTAGAGGGATTTGTAGAAGTTTGCGCCTTAGGTTTTCAGTGAAAATTTTTTTTATAAGATCCTAATTGATAGAAATGCTAATTGCACTAAAGTATATGAGTCGCGGCTTCTTAATATTTTTAGTCATATTGACTAGACTATTTTATATGGGTGTAGAATGCAAGCATATTAGATTCAGTATTCACAGAGTTTTGGTGTTCTCTTAACCAACGAAAGGAAAAATCTTTTATTACGGAATACAATTAACAAAAATCTAAAATGAATGAAAAATTAAACGAATGAGTAAATGAATAAAACCCATTAAAAAAAAAAAAAGAAAAGAAATGCTGCCAAATATCTAGTACGAGAAATGCATAGCAAATTTATCGTTGGTGAAAAATATTTTCTGATATTTTCTGATATATTTAT